TCCGTTTTACTTCCTCACTTCTTTTAAAGACACACTCTCTATTTATTTCATGCTTTTCTCTTACCCTTCTCTATTTCTTATTTTTCTCCTTCCCTGAACATCGCCGCTTGTAAATTCATCATTCTTTCTGATTTTTTTTTTGTTTCTTTATTTTTTTCTTTACTCACTGTCCTTTCCCTTTATTGGCGCAGCATAATATTACCCGCTCTAATTCTCATCCCTCTCTATTTGGCCTTGTGCCAGTCCTTGTTAGATATCTAGAGCTCTTCTTCCTCAATTAACTTCCCCTTTAGGCCACCCGCTCCGTCAGTCTTTCTAAGCCTGTCCTTGCCTATCTAACACTTGCCGCCTTTTTCCCCTGCTTTTCCGACTTACATCGCAGGTTTAGTGTTGAAAACTGGGTCACTAGGCCAATTCACACGCTCCTCTGAGCCTGGCCTCCCGGCTAGACACTAAAAAAGGGTCGGTAACGACCCCAGCTTCTAAACAGACATGTGACGGCATCATATGTACGTACATGTTGGTTGGCAGTGTGTTTGTGCTGGGACTTGACTGCGTGTGTTTGTAGATGGATTTTAAGAAGAAACTTACATATACGCTCAAAAATAAAATTCGCGTGTGTACTTGCATATAGATAAGAATTTACATATTTCTAAAAATTTGAATAATCGCTAAGATTATACTCCAGATGAAAAAAGTGTTATCCATCTTTTTCTAAGTTTCTTTTTAGAATCATCGTCCTCCTCATTAAAACAAACAATAAGACTTTTTGATATACGATGAAAAATAGAAGTTTAGGTTATTAATGTCAGTTTAATTTATGAATATTATTTTCATTTTGATTTAAAATTTAACTTATCGCTAAATAAATAAATAAACAAATCAGCTATCTCGGAGCCAAAGCAAATACCCACCACCCAAAAAAAAAAATGGTATCACATTGCTAGGGGTTGATTTGAGATATTGTAGTGTAAAACATTTAAGTCCAAGAGGAAGACTAGACCACAAAACAAGGGGAATTTTCCGTCGGGATAAAATCATTCTCTTTAGCCTTGTTCTATCTTTGTCACTGTAAAAAGTAGAAGCAAGTAGAGAGTATTGCACGAAAAATGACTCTTCTGTTTATTTCATTGCTTTTTTTATCTATATTATTTTTAGTCTTCTTTTATAAACGAGTTTTTTCTTTCGATTTACTTACTACTGTAGAGTAAATTATTATGATTTTTGCTTTGACGTTTTAGGTTTATTTATTATCTATTTGTTGATTGGTTGATCTAATATTCTTTTGGAATCTTTTTTTTACATTACGACGACCACAATTCTGCTTAACTCTTTTTAATTTGACATTTAAAACATCTTTTCTGATTTATCTCTCTCTCTCTCTTTATCTATCTATCTATCTATCTATCTATCTATCTATCTATCTATCTATCTATCTATCTCAGTCTATTCATATCTATCTATCTATCTATCTATCTATCTATCTATCTATCTATCTATCTATCTCAGTCTATTCATATCTATCTATCTATCTATCTATCTATCTATCTATCTATCTATCTATCTATCTATCTATCTATTCATATCTATCTATCTATCTATCTATCTATCTATCTATCTATCTATCTATCTATCTCAGTCTATTCATATCTATGTATCTATCTATCTATCTATCTATCTATCTCAGTCTATTCATATCTATCTATCTATCTATCTATCAGTCTATTCATATCTATCTATCTATCTATCTATCTATCTATCTATCTATCTATCTATCTATCTATCTATCTATGTATGTATGTATGTATGTATCTATCTATCTCAGTCTATTCATATCTATCTATCTATCTATCTATCTATCTATCTATCTATCTATCTATCTATCTATCTATCTATCTATCTATCTAATGTTTCTTTAATTATGAAGATTTCCTAATAATATCAGTTTTATTCTCATATCATCGTCGAAGCAACAGGGATGTGATTCTACAGGTGGATGCTGAAACGACCATGGACGGATCATGTGAGGAATGAGGAAGTCTTAAAGAAAACAGAAACTAGATGAACGCTTATACTTAAAATCAAATGAAATTTCTGCGACATATTATGAGAAATTTAGAAAATTTAACACTTAAATGACATAATGAGTTAAGTTGTGCGCAGAAGGAAGCAGTAAGTAACCTATATAACAGGATTGTTTGATTGGATGATGGCGTAAAGCGAAAGATGGGTGGTAAAAATTCAAACGCAGCTTAGGGATAGGAAACGGTGGAAAGCCAAGGTCGCCCACATCCTGAAGGTACACTGTACATAAAAGAAGAAAACTCCTTGAACATATCAAAAGAAGCAGAATTATTGTTCTTAAGGTAAATGAACTGCAGTAATTTTACAGGAAATTTTTTTCTTTCGTTTTTTTTAAAATGATAATTACTGACATTAAAGAAAAAATACATTTTAATGAATGCGTAGTGTATTCCGTTTGTTTCTGTATTTAAAAAAAAAATTAAATTAATTTAATTTTTTTTATTTTTAATGATATTTAAATTTTTAGCGTATTTGGTTGATTTCTTGTTTGATGTGCGGTTTCTATTTTGCGAACCCCCCAAAAACAATAAAATAAAATAAAATAAAATAAACAAAAAACGCCTGATTGCATTTCTCTTTGATTATCGTGGAGAGTTTAATGGCGACCTGTTAAGTTCTGAGGTCTTAAGATTTGCCCGTCATGAGTTATCGTTCTTGTCAATCTATTTATTTTGACTTCAGTCGAAATCGACCGGACGGGATGTCAGGCATCTGTAGCGTCAAGGGTCATTAGATCTTCTTAGGTTACAGTTCCCACGAGAGCAAGGTCTCTTCATTCGGTGATGCTTCCCAAGAAAGATATTTTGAGTAGATCAGTTGCTTACTGTATTATTAGCTTTTATTTTTATTTTAAATAAAAAGAAAATTGAACTCGTGGGTAAGCGAAAGGTTAAGCACTATCATTTTTAGGATTGATTAATTTCTGTCGGATGTCTGTGCTGCTTCCGATGGTATTTATCACAACTCCGTCTTTAATTATTTCTGACACCATTCCTTAACATTATCATCGGGAAAAGAAGAAAATGGAAAAGCGTGTAACGTAAATACTTTATTTCACAGATAAGCTACAAGATGGGTCCAACTGTAGTTATAAAAGGAAGAACTTGATCATCCACAATATCCAGGTAGGCTTCGGCATTTAAACGATTTTTATTGGTCCCAAGTCTCCTAATGTATGCCAAGGAAATATTCCCCCATACCATTACCCCCACTCTGAAACATTGTTATAAGGCAAGGTGCATCGATAGTGTTGTGGCCCTACAAACTGAATGTCGCCGTAGAAGTCGAAATTCATTAAACTAGGTAACGTCTACTCGATCTTCTATTGTTCAATCTGTATGATCCTTAACAGTCTCAGTTTCCTTCATATAATGACAAACGTAGCACCATGATGCCGTAGACTATCTGCTTCAAGGTTCGACGTGTTGCGCGTTTGCAGATGCTCTTAGGTTATTTGATTCACTATTTCTTTTCTATCAACTTCAACCAGTCTGATCATTGTATTCCGACTTCTTTCAAATGATTTCCTTCTACAGGATTGACTCTAACTTTTCTTTTTCTGACTTTTCACGGTGAGCTCCAAATGCGTGAAAATCCTTTTTTAAATACATGTCCGACTGGCGCCAACAACTATGGGACATTCAAAGTCTTTTAATTTATCTTTCGTTCACATGCTCATGTACGAAATGGAATCCAGCAAGTCGCCATGGCAACGTTTAAATGCCTATATTCATTAAGTTACTGCCACGTCATTGGTTGATTAGAAATTTGGCTAAAAGAGCATTTGTCACACGTATTTAATTAAGTGGCCAATGAGTATATATATATATATATATATATATATATATATATATATATATATATATAGGATTGGGTTTCTGATTCCTTATTTTCATTGTCTTTCGCACCCAATAACCTCTTGCGTCTTAGTGGCATTATCACCTTGCTTGGGGTGAATAATAATAAAAAAAGGTAAATGTAACGACCCCGACTGTAATTTGAACTCTGCTCTCCGATTTCTCATTCCGAGGCGCTATCCAATAGTTAGATAGATGTATATGTATATGTATGTGTCGATTCGGCACACGAAAAAGGGTTTAGAATCCTGATAATTTAAAACCCAGTCTTATAGCATTAAATAATGAATAATGTCAATTCAAAATGGCTTGTTGGTGAGAAGTATTAACAACCGTATATATGCGCAAGTGTCAGAACACGTTTGACAACATACAGCAGATATGGTTTGTTTTGTTTTGTTTTACGGTATATCAACCTCAATGGGTTATTTAATGACAACAAGATTTTTATTGCTGCTAATATTTTTTTTCAAAAATGTATTGCTGCTAAATGTATTGGCATTAATAATTTTTCCTCCCAAAAATTATTGCTGGTATTAAAGCTTATTTTTTCACTTTCATGGTGTTTTGACCCCAATTTGGGGGTTAAGTATTTGCCCATAGCTGTGACCTTAACGGGTGCAACCACCGCGGGTCAGGGTGGACCTGGGAACACCAGCAACTAAGAAGTGGTTCCACGCTCCTCAAAACCTCCTGATCAGAGCCCTCGTTGTCGGATGTAGTTTATCGTCTTACCCAGGACAACGGATGTAGTTTATTGTCTTACCCAGGACGGACAGCAAACATGATAGATTGATTTGTTTTTTACGGCTTTTCAACCCTTTGTAAATTTTAAATTGTTATTTAAAGCCAGAAAATATTTTTAGACTGTAAGAACTTTTTTAAGGTTGGCTTAGTGATACAATTCTTACTAATTAATCCATAGCTGGGGAGAAAAGAGGTCGATTCGTGCATTTCCCAAGAGTATTTGCGCGTAAGTGAATATAACGAACCCCACTGGAATTGGAACTCGGCTCCCAGATAAGAATTCCGGGGCATTACACCATCCGCACATCCAAGATTACAGCACCTATTACTCCCAAGCGGTCACCCATCAAGGTACTAACCAGGCTCAACGTTGCTTAACGACCGTACGGAAATCTGTGTTTCAACGTGATATTGCCGATATAAAGTAGGTATAGTTAAGAAAAAACACAGTTCATCTCTACTCTACCATGTGTCTCACGAATGAAAGCCTTGTGCCATACCTAGCGTAATCCAAATAAATCAATGTCTGTAAGATCCATTTTATTTTAACTCAAAATAAACAAGAAGAGATTTCGCGTTTTAAACGGATAATTGTTTTTCAGGCAGTTTGTGAATGTGTGTATGCGTGTGTGTTTTTATGTATGTGTGTATTATGTATGCGTGTATTTGTGTGCATGTGTATGTGTGCATGTGTATGTGTGTTAGCGTGTCAAGCAAAGAAATGAATGCGTGAGAACCTTTACGCGAATGAGCGTCTTATTTGACTTACTGTATTTATACAAACCACTATGTCTGTGACGTGTATTCTTCCCAGGGAGTCGTGAGTTTAAGCCTTACTCAGACATTATTTTTCCTCTGCACACATATTATTAATTTTATGACACATGTCATTTAGAAGATTCCCAATTAGCAATTTACCTGATTTTTATTCATGTTTAATTTCCAGAAATCTACTCTTGTTATTTACGTTGTTCGGCCTGTTATCCTCATCTTTGTTAACATATTCACGACGTTTCGGCCGTTGTACGCTCCGGACTTTTTCAGGTGATTGGAATTTCGAACCGAACGCTTTAATTCGTCCCCCGGGGTAGATTGTTCTAGTTCCACGTACCATGCCTCTTCCGGATATCTCAGTAACTCAACTCTGCAAGTTTTTTTGTTTTTTTTCTCACCTCTGTTCTGCTATTGAACTCACAACTCTTTCGGTCAAGTCAATGGATTACCAACGCTTTGATTCAATGGACCATGTGTACTTGGGGAAACGCCGTGAATATGGTAACAAAGATGAGGATAACACTCCGAACATTGTAAATAGTGTAAATAATTACAATAACTCATCTCAGAAATATAAGCAGATAATATTATTATGGCTGAATGAATATAACCTCAGGCTTGTCGGTTGCCAGTCCACTTTTCTAACTTATGAGCCGCGCAAGAAAAGCAAAAGTCTGTTTTGAAATTTGTAACGCAGTAAAGACAGACGAGTTAATCAGAGTTCCCAATGTTGACCGACAGGAATATCTTAATAAAGAACAAAAAAATAAAATAAAATAAAATAAATAAAAATGGCGGAGTAAAGCCTTTACAATGCATTTACGTAGTAAATTGTCTGGTGACTCTGTTATTTTTTCAAAGCTCGTCTAAATTGTATAAATAGACTAATTAACCGAGTGTAAAATAGTAATGTTTTCAAAACAAACATGATTTTCTAATATAATTATTGATTCAACTATAACTTCACAATGATGATTTTTGTTAAAAAAGAAAAAGAATTAGCATCGAAAACTGTTTTGTCATTTCAGTTTAAAAAGCATCAACCACTTGTTTAGCAAGTGGATGATCCTGTTCGTTGCTGTAAGAACAAGAAGAACGGAAAAGACGGAAGAAGAAGAAGAAGAAGAAGAAGAAGAGAGAGAGGAGGAGAAGGAGGGACAAGACGAAAGAAAATGAAGAAGAAGAAGATGAAGAAGAAAAAGAAGAAAATAAGAAAAAGAAGTAGAACAGAAAAAGACAGAAGAAGAAGAAGAAGAAGAAGAAGAAGAAGAGAGAGGAGGAGAAAGAGGGACAAGACGAAAGAAGATGACGAAGAAGAAGAAGTAAAAGAAAAGAAGAAGAAAAGAAGAAGAAAAAGAAGTAGAACAGAAAAAAGACAGAAGAAGAAGGGAGAGGAGGAAGATGGATAAAAAACGAAAGAAGAATACGATGAAGAAGAAGAAGAAAAAGGGAAAAAGACGCAAGATGAAGAAGACGACGTAGACGAAGAAGAAGGGAAACAGACGCAAGAAGAAGGAAAAGAAGTAGAACGGAAAAAGACGGAAGAAGAAGGAAGAGTGGAGGAGGAGGGAACAAGACTCGTGAAGAAGAAAAAGAAGAAGAAAGGAAAAAGACTCAAGATGAAGAAGACAACAAAGATAAAGAAGGGGAAAAAGTAAGAAGAAGTAGAAGGGAAAAAGAAGGAGGAAAAAGACGAAAGAAGAAATTGCTGTTATTAAAAGAAATTTGAATTTGTCTAGAAAGTGCACTGATTGCCAAATCACTTACGGTAATTTTGTGTCCAGGATCTGATAAAATTTCTCCTTGCTTAGCAGATCTGTTATCACAATGAGGGAGACATCAAAACCCAAAACGATAAAAGTAAAATCGTATGGAAGCTGAAGGAGATCGGCTAGTCTGTATGTTCAGACACGTCTGATGAAATAAAAGTTACGATTCAAAAATTTAAAACGTTTCTTCAGCGTCTTTCCCCCAAGGTAGATAATTGCAAAAAAAAAAAAAAAAAACCAAAAAAAAAACCACGCCCGCCTTTACAACTTCGCCCCCTTTCTTTCCTACATATATATAATTCCATTAATAAAAACATTATTTTAGTTGTTCAAGAGTCCAAAACGTGCTACACAGAATTTTTTCACTTTGTTATTAACTGCCTTCCCGATATATACAAATTTATATATCATATTCTCCAATGTTGGTTGTATTTGGGCAACATTTTTTTTTATTTATGCTCGTTTGATAAAAAAATGAATAAATAAACTATAAAAGATGAAGAACAAAAGTCATTTTCTGAAATAAATTTAACATTTAAATCATCAAATAACATTTTCAAATGCTTTCTTCAAGGTTTTATCCAATTTATTTTTGATGAAGAAATGCGTTAGTTTTTGCCTCTTTCAAGGCCATTTCAATTTCAAAGCATAAGATCACGAACTATATAAAAAAAAAAAAAAAACAAGACTGGTGTCGAAAAGTAGAACTACAGACTGAGTTGTTTTGTCGGCCAGGAAATGCTATCATCGATGGTATATTGTGTTATTTGTGACGAAGCCGTGATAATTTAAATGTATGTTCTTTGTACGAAAACAACAAACAAGCCAACAGAAATGAATTATCTGTCTCTATTTCAAAGATGAGGTATTGTAACTATTTACACTATTTAAATCATTTAGACTGTTGTCCTCGTCTTTACTGCCATGTTCACGACGATTCGGGTGTTGTAGGCTCCGGCCTTCTTCAGGTGATATCTGTTGGAATTTTGAACCGAACCTTTTATTTAGGTCGAATTCCAGGAAAGGAATGGCACGTGGAATTGGTACAATCTATCCCCGTAGACTGAATAAAGGGTTTGGTTCGAAATTCTCACTACTATCATCTGAAGAAGGCCGGAGCGTACAACGGGCGAAACGTCGTGAATATGGCAATAAAAATGTATTTAGTGTCAATCGTTATCTTGTGTCTTCTTAATTCTTTTTCTGTCTGAATTTCTAGGAGGAGGAGGAGTTATCATTATTTACATTATTTATATTCGGACTATTGTCCCCATCTTTGTTGTTGTTATTACAACGTTTCGGTCGTTGTGCCATCCTCCCTTCATCAGGCGTATATCGATCTGCAGGGAATTCTGAACTTAACCCTTTATTTAATCTACGAGGTAGACTGTTCTCGTTCCAATGTCCATGTTTGGAGTCTAGTTCTTATTTTGAATATAATTTTATTTTATTTTATTTTTTGTACAGTGAGGGTCACCCTTTACAAGGCCCGGGGGACACTCGAGGTAGAGGGTTACGTTACGATTTGTGTGTATAGGTGAGGGAGATAACAATTAACGATTGAATAGGTTAAGATTGTAGTGATCAAGGAAACAGCCAGTTGGGAGTTGGTTCCATAGTGCAGTGGTTCACAGGAAGAAGCTGTTCAAATGGAACCTACTTCTCACTGGTGGAATAACGAGGAAATGTGGGTGGTTTCCTACTATGTAAGTGGCATGGCATGTTCTTACTGAGTAGGTTTGCCTTGGTGGGACCAGGGAATGAAGTTCGTCCAAGCACTTTCCAGTAGTAGTAGTAGTAGTAGTAGTAGTAGAGCAGTGAGAGACTTATCACATCCTGCCTGTGGGAGAGAGGTTGAAGGGTGGAGAATAATTCATCACCTACAACGTATTGGAGATGCTTTTGAACTCTGTCAAGGTTGGAGAGTGAGGTCTGGGCAGCTCCCACCCAAATATGACTACTTCATTTCTGGCCTGATCTGGCTCTTGTAAAGATGGAGGATAGCAGGAGGAGTCTGGTAATTAATGGAAACCTAAAGGACGCTGACCATTTTATCTGCATCCTTAGCATCGGATCGTAAGTACGAGTTCCACTTGAGTTTGAGGCCCAACAGTCTTTCAAGGCACGGTGCGTTACCGAGCGGACATCCGTTCATCTTGATTGGTGTGGTTTGTTTGGGGAGCAGATCGGTGATGATGGAACGTAACTAGCTCGGTCTTCGAGGCATTGAATGTAACTAGTCCATTGTATAGTTTGTACAAGATTGGGAGAGAGAGATCAGTCGCCAATCTCTGACCATCGAGAGGTACGCTCGTATCGTCGGCATCGATGTTTACAAACGATCTTAGGCAGATCATTTATATATAGATCAAAAAGAAGGTTGATCCAAGGAGTGACACCTGTGAGACGCCTGCGTTGACCGCTAGGCCACCGGAGGACTGGCCATTAATAACTACCTTCAGGGACCTACCTTTTAGGAAGGGTTTTATGATCGAGAAGACCCTTCAAGTGATTCCATAACCGGAGAGCTTGTGTATTAAACCTTTATGCCACACCTTGTCGTATGCCTTTGAGATATCTAGTGCTATGGTCTTCGAGCTGTGTTTGTCGTCAAGAGCCCCATTGATTCTGTGAATGATGGTAGTTAAGACATCGGCAGTGGATTGGGCCGACCGAAACCCATACTGCTTGTCGCTGAAGAGGTTGTTCTTTTCTAGATGCCCTACGACCTTCTTATTGATTATGGCCTCAAAAAGCCTACTGAAGATATTGAGGAGACTGATGGGTCTGTACTGGGAGGAGGAAGATCGTGTATCCGCATTCTTGAAAACCGGGCATACTTTTGACACTTTCCACTGGCTTGGGAAGGATTTC